AATGTTTATCAGACCACCTTAACGAGGAGCAGGAGAGTGTATCAAATGACGAGACCACGGTATCGACCGCCCTCCCTGTATGCCTTTAAGACAGTGTGACGTAATGCCTTACTTACTGCTCATGGTATTGAAAGCACAGATTAAACTGGTAGTGGCAAAAAAAGTTGTAAAACAGCCGTCAAGCTTGAAAGAAGGGCTCTTGTGCTAGGCTAATCTGAAGTGCTTGCAGTTCCGTGACTGTTTTTGCCTGCACCACCCAGTGACGCCCATAACGTGAGCTCATGAGCTGTCCAAGAATGCTTGAAGTTGAGAAGACAAGAAGACATAAATACAGAAGACAAGCTTAAAACTAAAACTCACGACGATCCGAGCTGTTAAAAAAAAAAACGCCTGGAATTCACTTCCGAGAAGTAATTTCAAATGAAAACCTTTCCATTATTGCAGGGTGCTGTACTCCGCCAATGACGCGCACAACAACGCTTTCTGGGGGCATCGATCGCAACCGGTGTTTCCCACCTCATAAAATACTGTTTTTACGACTGTCACAGCCTGTCAGCTTGCACAAACGCATGTCAAGGGTTAAGCATCACCTGGCGTTGCCTAAGAAACCGTTAAACAACAACAACAACAAAAACAAACAAAGGACAAAACCGGTATCGGTTGTCCACATATGCCAGTGTAGTTCCCTGGAAGTTGGCATGACGCCGGAGACTCAGTGAGACTCACCTTCTCCTCCTGCGCTGCAAACACCGTGCAGACACGCAAGCGCGGCCCGAGCCCGTACTGGTGACAGGCCCAGCAGCCGCCAAGAGCGGCGGACCCCAGCGCCCCGCAGCCCAGAGCGCGTCGGAAAACGGGGGGGCGCGCCCCCCACAATCGGCCGAAGCCCCTTCTCAGATTCACGGCGGCTCGGCCCCAGGTAGCCATCTTCACGGAAGTGTCAAACCGCCCTCTCGCGAGAAGGGCGGGCGGCCGCGACTCAGCGCGACTTGCTCCTTCCCCCTGTCGCGCGGGGAGGGGCTGCGCGCGGACCTGCGGGTCGCGTGAGCGTGCCTTCCGCCGGGCGCACCTAGCGATGATGCCGGCCCGTGTGGGCAAATGTCACCCTTGCGACATCTCCCTTCCAATAGCTCGGTCCCCTTGTCACAGATTCTCAGCCCCCCCATGCACACGATTGCTCTCTTCCAAGAGTAACCGTGCAGTGCAAAGTGCGGATGACGTACATGATTAGGGACCCAAAACCATAATTATAAATATGTGCATTACCCAGGCATTGAAATATTATTTATAGTGTGCACGCATGTTTTAAGTGCTGTGTCGCAGTATTCCGTAGAGGCATACGTTTTGTAGAGGTTGTTGACATCCGGGATGTATTGCAGGGGGTCACACCTGAAGTGTTATTGTTTTATTCCTCAGAGTAATGAAAATATAATCTTCCACACAACTTTCAGAGAAGCTGTGGGTCTGTGTACTTAAATATCCTGGGATACATATATATTTAGGATCTGAGTGTTGTACAATAGCATTAAAGACTTCAGGCTGAGACGTGTTCCAGAACCGTTCTCTTTCGTTTTGTAAAAAGCGTTTTTAAACTCATACAATACTCAAAGGCCACAGTGTGTTTTGCAGTACATGACAACAGAAACACACAAAATGTTTTATGCTCGTTAAAATCAGTGCACCGAGTGGTTGAATTGTCAAAATAAAATGACTACAGTATGAAATATTGTAAAAAGCCAGTACAAATCACATTAATATATCTTGGTTTTCTTTCAAACAGCTCTGTTAGTCAGACTAAAGCAGTAGCCTTTCTTGCTATTTATAAAGTACTGTATTATTTTTGGCCATAATTTATCACACTCAAAATCTAATGAAACACCAGACATCACTGGTAACATTTTCAAAATGTAATAAGACTTTGTACAGTGTACGGAAATACCATTTCCTTTTAGTTTGCCACAGCAAGCCAAATGTTTATTGTTAATTATTGTATTTATTTAGCTTTAAAATGCACTTGAAGGTGTCTTATACAAACCCTGAACACTCTCTGGTCAAGTCTTTTGGGATTCTTGGAAAATTTGTTATAAATTACTGTTCCTGGAATCGGTGTCCTATCTGAAGGTTCTTAGCCAGCACATTCCTAGACCATCACAAAACAACCAACATTTTTCCCTCTCTTAGCAATGCATTAGTCAGTACCTATTCTGTACATTTCTGTACTTAAATCTTTTTGTGGTCTTAGTAGTGAGAAGTAATTAGTTTCACAGCATGCATTAATATATTATTTCTAACAAATATTCACTAATGTGACATGTGACAGTAAATTATACTGTATATTGCAAGTGTTACCAGTAATTCTTTTTTTTATTCTAGATACACTATTATTCTAATATCTCTCCTGCTTTATTACAGTGAGATTTAAGTGTTTTTGTTTGCTAACTTGTTCACTCATGTAATCTGTATCAATTAACCAAATAGTAAGTGATGAGCTTTAACATTCTTAAACCATAACTTTTTATAGAGCACTACCAATATCTGGCTTGTTCAAATATATTTCATGCTGTACTAGACGCAGTATGAGTTGTACTACAACAAAAACAGAAAAAAATAAACAATTTGACCTCTAGAGTCAAATTGAATGTCATGAAAAAAATGCATGGCTCAAATATCTGGACACCTTAAATAAATTCTAAAAATAATAATTACTGGGAAAGTTTGGATATGAATGCTTGAAATAAGATAAATATTTAGAGTGGCATTTATAGGACATGGAATAAACTGAAAAAACAAACATTACTTATGCCAAAATAAAGACACTTAACATAAATTTAAGACTGGTTTACACACTATACACTATAACCTAATATACCTATTTCAAATTCCTGCTTACCGGTACATACACCCAAAGCAGCACAGTATGTACAATAACTTAGTACAGGTATTTAGTAAAAAAGCATCTTTCTGTAATTCTTGCCAGATGTTAAGTCTCTTACACAGATTTGGAAATATTATCACAGAGACCCAGTTGAAGCTTTGTAAATCTTTTTTTTTAAATGCAGAGACAATTTTATTTGTTTATTATTTACCTAGCAGATGTCATTAATAATGACTCAAAACCCTCCTTTTCAGAAAAGCCTTTACTTAACTGGTTCCATTCTTCACCCCTCTGCTCTTCTTAACACCACCTTCCACGGACTCCTCTATTGTTATTGTTGTATTGTTGTAATTATAATTGTGTCCTGTCTTGTGAAATTTTCTTATTTATTGTTGTAGTCTTCTTATTTATTGTTATTGTCATCCTGTAAAGCGCTTTGAGAAGCCACCTTTAAAGGCGCTATATAAAATAAAGTTTATTATTATTATTATTACACAGGGTGACTTACAGGTGCACATAATTGATACAATAAGTGGATAAAGTAAGCTTATCAAATTGAAATTAACATTATAGCAGTATAAAGATTGTAACCTGCAGAGGTTTAGCTTTTACTTGAATGCAAAACACAATTAAGTGTCCTTTACACCTCTGGCTGTTCCTAGTATCCCTGGCAAATTAACAGAGTTAGGCGAGATTTCATGGCATGTTAAAAGCATTCATACTGCATGTGCTCTTTTTGGATATTCTGTTTTGTGTAGAAACCATTTCCCAATTCCTCCAAGCTTCAGAGGATAGGTTACATCCAGGTGGAATGGAAACCAGGCATGATGGGAACTGAGGTTGATCCAGTTCACAAGCCTCTGGAAACAGAAGAGACCGTCAGGTCTGCCGAGGACCAGAACACACAGAGAAAGGAAAGGAAATACATAGCCAGTGTCTTACACATTAGATGATGACAGAACTTCAGCACGCCTTTAGCAATTGTGCCGAGAGAGCAGAATGTTGCTGTGGACTCTGCACAGGACACTTTCTTTCACATATTGGCTGTATTGAACAATCATTGCGCCTAGCCCTGCATTTTCCTGAGATTCCAAAACCTGCAGGGAGTTTCCAAAAGGTGGACAGAATTGTGTTCGGACGCAGAGCCTGTGCTTGTAGCGTGCCTGGTACAAGGCTGCCTTCCTGCTGTGTGGAGGCCCTCCAGTGCTTCCTATTCTGCAGAACAGCAGCTTACTTAAGAAGTTAGTGACCCATCTGCGTGTCTGCATTGCTCTGTGAGAAACCAGGGATGGGTTAACTCCTTTTGCCCCATTGTTTGCAGGGTTGGGAAAAGTGGAAATGAACTGGCCAGATTCTTTGCAGACTAGCACACAGTGATTATGGCGATATCCTGTATGTAAACGAACAAGTAATAGGTTTATTCCATGCTGAAAAGAGAAGAAAGAAAACACAACGTTTTGGCCATGGAGCCTTCTTTGGGTGTGAGGAAGGCTGTATGTACTGTATGAGTCAAAGACGGTGGCCTGGAATTGACCAAGGTGGCTGTTCCACAACACACTTTGCCACCTGCAACAGGGGACACACTGTGTTCTGAAATAAAACAACACAGCAGGTTGTCAAACCCAATGCCTACATAATAAAAAACCCTGTTGAAGGAAGAACTTGTCTCGCACTGGCATACAGCTGTCTTTTAAAATGATGAGCAACAAAAAGCAGCTCGTCTGAATCCTATCATTTTAAAGTCAATTTCAATTTTTAATTCATAGTGCATAAATGTATTTCGTTAATAAAAAAATATTTCATTACTGCGCTACAAACCCAGAGAGCATTTTTATACAAAAAAGGAAAGTGCATTACCAAATATGAGAAACAATACGTTGATTAAGATTTTTTTTTTAAATATATTTTTGAATTAGTTTATTCCGCCACGCTCCCGAAAAGGTCGGCGCAGTTACGAAGAAACAGGTGCAACTTGCTTACGAAGCTGCACTGCTCTTCTGATCACCTTGGTTTCAGGACAGGCACTTCGAGAGCGCTAGGACCGTGGAGAGCTCTGGCTGTCATGACTACCCCGGGAGACTACCTTAAACCCAGCCCAATGGTTGCTTTGCCTGCGTACTCTGCGTGCTGGATGGGGAGACTGAGAGAAGAGCCGCAGCTCAGTGCAGGAGTACAACATTTCACCGCGAGCTCCGCGGAAGGAACACCTGTTTCCACCCAGCCAAGAATTACAAGAAAAAAGGAAAGCGCTCTGGCGTATTTCTGTTCGCCGGTGATCGCCCAACATTCCCTGTACCTGGACATCTCTCATCTCTGACAGCTCTTGGATATTGCCTTTGCACATCAGAGAAGATCAAAGTTTTATGGTGGGATTCTGTCTGTGGCAGCACTGTGCGATCTCTAAAAACAACATATATGTTACACATTTGCACACTTGATTCCAGGATTCCTGCTGGTGCATGCAGTGTATAATACAGTAAAAACAGCGCATGCCTTTATGGAGGCAGAATCCATAATTCTGACGTAGCCTGAACATCTTAAAAATTCCCACAACGTCGGCTTTTTAAGTTGGCATGATCATTCCAACCTTAACTCTAATGGAGAAGCTATGGATTTTTATTCTTCAAACAGCTGGATGGGCTGAAGACCACATTACCTGTTAAGGTCTGGGGGATCTACCGTATGTATATAAATTATGTCAGTGCGTGATTATAAAGTGGCGGTTTCTTAGACTAACAGCGCTGTGACCTTGAACCCGTAGCAGTCAAAACAAAATATTACTTTTATTTATGCGTTTTAATGGATTAAAGGGAGAGCACCTTCACCAGTAACGGCAACGAGGAGAGGGAGTGGTAGAAGATCTCTTTGGTTGATACCATCATTATTGTTTATTCTCGTTCTCTAAAAGCAGAATCTTCTGATGGCTCCTTTAGGGGAAGTTGGGAACTATTTCGGTGCTCAGGATGCTCTTCCTCTGGGGAACGTGCCGGTTTTACCGGCGGATAATCCGCACCTGGTTCACTCTGAAGCCGGGGGGCTGCCCAGGGGGGCCGCGGTGACGGACCTGGATCATTTGAAGGGAATTCTCAGAAGGAGACAGCTTTACTGCAGAACCGGATTCCATTTAGAGATTTTCCCCAATGGTACCATTCAGGGTACGAGACAAGACCACAGCCGATTCGGTAGGTATATTAACTCTTCGGGTGCGGGATTTTGAAATGAAAACGTTTTTCCCCCCCTTTCATTCTCTTTCCTCACTCTCCGAGATGACTGCTACTAACTGCACATTCACGCGTCTGCATTTTCGAGGCAGATCGTTTCCTCTGTTTTGTTTTTAATGTGCTGCTCGGCCTTTGCACGACGAGGCCAAGAGGCGTAAAAACCGGGGATCCCCTTTATTTAAAGGTACAATTTCAGCACACTTCACAGGGGGAATCTACAGCATACCGCATCATATGAGTGAGTCAACACATTCTCCTTCTGTGTGTGTGCCTCTCTGCACCGCTGCTATGCCCGATGCGTAAAATCATAATCACACATGACATTGTACAAGTCTAGAAACAAAATATATTTAGGTCACAGGGAGTGGCTACTTCTGCAGTTTCTGAGCTAATTAGTGATTTATTTATCTGTACTCACCCTTTCGTTCGCTGCTATATCTTAGCGCCGCACGTGTAAAAAAGATGTTTCATTGTTGTGTCAGAGAGGTGTGTCTGCGAGAAATTTAAACCCATCGGGCATGTACAGTAGTTCTCGAATAGGAAGAGACTGTCTTGCCTGAATACTTCAGTCTCTCCAAGTGACCTCCGAGTTAAATTTAGCATCCGACCAGCAGAACGAGCATTACATAATCCAGAAGAACAATCATTTATCCGACTGTTACCGTGACCTACGGGAGGCACATTGTTATGTATTGACTTCGTAAAGCGTGCGTTTTGAAACGCAAAAGCCTGTATCTTGTCCATTACATTCTACGATAACGCTGGAATAGTTTTTCGCGTTTGAAAAAAAGAAGAAGACCGGACTAGAATGTAGAAACACTACGTTATTCTTATTCATGTGGTCGCTTATAGTTGACTGCGGACTGCGGCCACCTGCCTGCACTTCAGCTGGGGGATAAACACATGTCCCGAGGCGACTCGTCTTCTTCAAGATGAGTGATCGCCCGAACTTCGGTGCGCTTTTTTTAAAGTGGCGGTAAACAGTGAAAGATTCATCTTCCGATACCTGGGTCATCGATTGACCGATGCGCTGCAGATAAACGTAACAAGATGAAAAAACTTGTTCTGTGCTGGGGTCCTTCATAATAACAGTGCTTTAGAAAAGTTGTAGGCAGGTAGACAATAATGTGTTAGTACTAGACTGCGGTACCGGCAGTGCGTGCACAGTGCCCCTGCTTTTGGAGTGTGTTTTAGTGCAGGTGATGGCAGCGTTTCTCCTCGCCTGGGCAGCGTCGTCAACTTCAGCTGGGCAGCGTTTGCAGTGTGAGTGTGCCGGAGGCGTGCCCGGCGCTGCGACAGGGGCGTGCAAAGCCCCCCGGCCCGGCGGCTAACGAACACGTGTCCCGGGTCGCCCGAAGACGAGAAGCCGGTCTAACGCCGCTTGAAAGCGAGACCCGCATCACGCCTATCGCAGGTGCCTGGGAGTACTGCGATTGCACTGCTTCGCTTACGCTGGGCCGGAGGGCCAATCGGCAACCTGCTGGGTCCTATAACTGGCCGGGTAACCATCACATGCAAACCAGTAACATTTCAAGCCGTGGAAGGATCGACCGCATTAAATTTGACGCAGTGCGAGAGGCGCTGGAGATGCTATAGTTTCCCGAAATATCCTTCAGGCGTATTGACTGGTGGGGATGTTTTCTGCTTTCCTGCAGCTTTACCCTAATTATTCAAACGCGTGGCTGTCCAAGCCCACCTTGAGTGCTGAGAGCCTGTCAGAACTTTATATCATCTTTTCAAGCTCCTTTCGCAGAAAATAAATAGCCTAAAATGAACGGCCGGTTTCGAGAAATATTTGGGTTCTAAAGATAATCGTACCAATAAAATAATTTTAGATCGATGTATATATAAAGTTTACTTCACACGCAGGACGCTGTGTCTTTTTCACAAGAATATTTAAAAATAAATCCCTAAAAAGGGTGGCCAATCTGCACTGTACGTCTGGAATGAGAGCCATTTCAGCTTTCGATTTAATCTTCAATCGTGAAACACACCACTATTTAAGGGAAATGAATGCCTGGACGATTCTGCTCGCCATGTCTCTGGAAGTCAAGTGTGTGTGAGGAGGGAGTAATGTTGTAGGGTGAGGCTGTGGTCAGAGCTGGGAGGTTCTGATTCTGGTGCAGTAGGTCTCCAGCCCATTGTCGTTTGGGTCTCCCTGTCATCAACACTGTAAGATCACAGCCGTTTGTGCTGAGTGTTACACTTGCTTTACAGTCTGGGCTATTCCCAGCTGGAGAAATGAGTAAGATCAGATGGGCAGATGCCTGTTTCCCTGGTGCTGACTTCCATTCCGGTTTTGGATTGTGATCGGCCAACCTGGTGAGTCACAGAGACCTTAGATCTGTATTCAAGTTATTTCAGATGAGACTTCAAACTTAATCGCTGGTTATACTGGGGACATCAAAGAGGGAAAGTTGTAATTGCACATTTATGGACAGAAACCTGTAACCGTACAGTGTTATGATTCAATCCAGTACAGTTAATGAAACAGTGTAAGACTCTGAATCACTTGACTGTTGTTCCTTCTTCTGATTGAAAAGGGTCAGTTTCTCTTTTTTTTTTACATCCGCACAAATCAGCAATACCTGTTTTCTCATTTTTCTCTAAGAGATAGGTCTATAAAGAACAGAATAACTGTTATTGGGAATGTTTATTACCTGAAAAAACAATGTAGTTTAAACATCACATTTAAGTTAGAAAAGTTAAGGAAAGAGCCACAAATATTCCCTTGGAGTATGAGCTGCCAGTTTTCCAGTGAATGAGAAGTGCACTTTTATGAGTAGACATAACCCATTACTAAACACATAAGAAATATCATTGAATGATTTTAATACCATGCGTCACAATTATGAACATCTTATTGTGTGTATACCAACAATCCTGTCTCAGATTAACTAAAGGTCAGGTGTATGACAGTACAGTAAATCACAGAGAATATTAGTGATGTAAGATAACAGTACTACTGATGTACTGTAGTTTTCTACATCTGACCTTTATTTCTGTCTTTGGAGGCTGCATAGCAGATGGTGAATTAATACCACGTCCTTTGTGACTTTTTGAGACAAAGATGTCACAGCGAATCCAATAACTCTGGGCAGCAGAGGCGTGTCTGTTGCATCAGCAAAACCTCTGCATGTGCAGCATTAAAACTCCAGTCCCAGCAAAGCAGCACTACAGCAATAACGAGGTCACCCTTGCTGGAGGCCATCCAGACAGGAGCCGAGCTGTGCTGAATGAGGATTACAAGGAGCACACCTTGCACTGTAACAAAATGGATTGGCTTTTACAGCATTGCAAGTAGTGCATATGTTCATAGCCTTCCGATCCGGATGTTCACATGAAGAGAACTATTCAGTCCACTGGCTTTTTATTGAATAAGATAGTCTGAGCATACTGTTCAGAGTAATGCCATAATAAATGATTTGTTAGGGTGGGTGAAGGTATGGTGTTTCACTCAGTTTCATGATGCATTTCCTCAGTCATGACTTCCTACAGTAAAGGATTCCGTATGTGTCCAGGGAACATACAGTACAGTATCTGAAAACATATATGAAAAGAGAAGAAAAGAAACAGAGCATTTCGGCTGTGGGTTTCTGAAGAAGGCTCCTCAGCCATAACGTTTTGTTTCTTTTCTTCTCTTTTCAGCATGGAATAAGCCTTTACTTGTACCTTTGCAGTCTATGCACATGTTGATGCAGCTCCCTACTTGAACATATTTACCTGCTGTCTAGATTGTATCCATCATATGTGGTCAAGGTCTGGATTTAGCTTCCGTCTTCCAATATAATCACACAAGAAGTAATGGAAGGTTAATGTTGGTCTACACTGACATCTCCCTGTACCTTTAAATAGCTTCAGTCTGAATTAGTGACCTCATTATTTTTTGTTGCAGTCCACCAGTGTTGAGGTTTGTGGTATATCAGTTTTCCTGCACTGTTTTAAGTGCCAAATGTAAAAACATATCACATAAAAAGCAGGCAAAAACCAGAAGAAAGTGTTAAGTTGTGATTTTTCATCTTTACACTTTGTGATGCAAAACAGACAGTGTATTTGGATCTGCTGAATAGCGCCTGTGTTGTGACACATCTTTGTGTATTTATGCCATAATAATTTAGTCAGGACCCATGTTGTGTCTACTTCAACAGATCAACAAACACAACAGTTTGCATGTTATGTGATGAAAAGGAGAGTTGTTGTTGTCAGAGCAAACTGCACTTTGTAATACTGTAAGTGCTTAAAGAAAACCAACCGTGAACTAAAAGAACTGAAAATTTAATTGGTTCAGTAAATAAATAAATGTTGTCAGACATTTCTGATCCCCCTACTGGGAAAAGAAATGAAAGATCTGTTAGATTGTACAGTGGCCACTGTCCTTTCTGAAAGTTTACATCAAACCATGAACTGAGCACTGTGCCCAGAGTCTCCAGCAACAGCTACACAAGCGTTTAAGAGGACAGACTGACACTTCCTCAGATATATAAAATCAGCATCAGGTGAGCAATTTGCCTTGACATGAAGAATCATCAGGTTGCACCCTGTGGTGTCCTGGTAAAAACATTTGCATTCATTGACAATGTGCTGAAATGTGTTGTACTGTGGTAAACACAATGAGCTTCTGGGTACCTCTGTTTTCTAAACCAAATAAAAATAAGTTTTAGTAACAGCACATTGGGTAATGGATTAGAGGTGTCTGCGCTATAAAAATGTTTTACAGGTTCTTTTAAATTAGTAACATCCATACATAGCGATTGTACAGCAGTTTGTATTTAACATGCCTAGATGTGCTGACGTCATGCAGCTAACATGCTGGATAACTCCTGTACAGCTACGTCTCCATCACTCTGCTCCCCTGATGGTCAACACTTCAGAATATCCGACAAATAATAATCATTCCTTGCTTTTATACGGCGCTCTCCATGCCAAAGGATCTCAAAGAGCTGTGTGCAAAGGAGGAGGCTGACCTTACCAGCCATGGAACTGCAGCTCCACCTGTAAAATGCACATTTGTGAACAACTCAGGGGCTGTGCTCCATTTCTGGTTAAACTGCAGACACAATTGCTGCCATACAGTCACAGTTAACCCATGCGTTACACATGCTACATGTTTGCTATTCTTAATCAAATCACCAAATCTCTATCAAGTTGCAAGGCTTATTTACATATACAGTATGTTTTTCTTCTGAAGTGTCACAGAACATAACACAACCCTTCAAAAATGATTTTTAGTTTCACAGTCCTAAAGTGCTACCTATAGGGAAATGGGGCTGCAATGCATCATTTCAGTCTGTTTTGCATATCTGATTAACAGCTGGCAAGGAGAAGGCTCTTTTTGGAGAAGGCTTTTGTTTCAAGGAGTAATGAAAGTACAGCCAACAATACTGGAAAAGGTTAATGCTGGAAACTCAAACACAATACACATATTTCTTTTGGACAGGACTGTTGGAATTTTTTTCAACATACCCACCGTATAAATTTAATATATAATAAAGTGAGTCTGCTAATCCTGTCCTAAGGCGCTCTTCTGCAACATCGACGGGCTCTCACTCTGCCTTCTTGTTACGAATGCACTGTCTCCTCTCTTCTGTAAATCAGCCTGTTACCTCAGAAGAACCGGATCCGAAGGCTCCTAAACAAGGTGCTTTCGAGGTTCCCGGTTAAAAGGCTATGTCCTTGACATACATGTAATAAAACTAAACACGTTTCAGTTACAGTCAGCTTTGATTCCTCTCTTTCCTCTCGTTAGCTTTAGGTTTCGAGCCTCTTGTGTCAGCCTCCATGTGTGTTTCAAGCTCCCTCTGTCCAGCAGGCATGTCCTGGACAAGTTTCGTGTGCCGATACTGGAGACAATACACGTTATCTAAGGAGAGAGAAAATATTAAAGAATGAATTGAGAAACCTCTCAAAACCCTTAAAACACTTCAGTTTTAGGTTAAATATGTGGTCAGTGGGACAGACGGGAAGCATAGGTATCCAACACTCTTTAAAAAGACGTACATCAGAGACAGGAAGTATTTCGCCAGATAACATTTCGATTCAGTGTTCTCTTGTTTTACTCCGAGAATAAAAATACAGGAACACTGTGCTCTACAACCACATTATTAGGCATTCTGCACATGTTGTTGTACCCAAAACCAACTGCAAAGACTGGGAGGGTAAGCCATGCATCAGAATTTGTGCATCAGGACAGAGGACGAGGAGGAGTGGTATCTAGCATGTGGTGACATGCTGTGAGTTAGTTGGGTGGCTGGTCCTCTTCTAGATAATAAGCCATCAACCTTAACCTCCAAGCCTAATACGAATACTTCTATGTTGAGCCCAATAAGCGGTTTATATTTTTACCTCTTTTTTATGGTTTACTGCAGCCATTAGGAATGTCCCATGACGACAACAGGTCATTAAAACAAACTAAACCAGTCCAGAGAGCATGATGATGAGGTGTGGTCTCTGTAATCACTAGCTCGTTAGGATCAATTAAAACGCAGCTCTTAATGGGCAGGAATGGACTATCGCTTGGCATGGCCTGTTACCTGTTACCTGTTACCTGTTACCCTCCACAGGAACGGTCCTCAGCCTTGAGCCTTCCATGCGCTTCTTCCGACAGGAGGCCGATGTGGCCCCGCTGGGTTTTGCTACTGAGCTGGGAGTCCCATTCAGAATTATCCCCTGAGTAAACACTCCAATGATTGATGTGTATTACTCCTTGGACAAGGCTTTTGTTCCTGTCTGTGGCTGACTGGACCAGTTCTTTGCCCTGTGGTAACGGTTCATGTGCAGGGGGGTCGTAAAGGGATTCTTTCCTTGCTTGAACCTTTCTCGCAATGGGTTCACCCATCCTCCTCGTTAATATAACCATTTATACTCCTAGTGCTAGTGCAGCATAAATGTATAAATGGGTGAAGTTTTAGTTAGCTGTGGATAAAAAACATCGGGCAATTAAAGCTGATAACCGAGCCAGCCCGAGTCCTCCTCGGTCTCCAGGGCTGCGTGCTTGCAGAGCAGTGCTACGTGCGGTGTGGCTGTTTGCGGGAAACGTCCTCTGCTTTGTCTTCTCAGGTATACTGGAGTTTATAAGCATAGCTGTGGGCCTCGTCAGCATCCGCGGCGTGGACAGCGGCCTCTACCTCGGGATGAATGAGAAGGGGGAGCTGTATGGGTCGGTAAGTTCAATACACAACCGCAGGTCGTGGCGTAAGATTGCACAACCCGCTTCACTGACAAAGACAACAGGCTGAGGCGCTTCAAGGAGATGTCTTTTTCCACCGTTACTTTTGATGGATCTCTTGCAAAACAATACACTCCCACAGAAGTGTCCTGGTTACACAATTAAACTTCTGTCATAATACTCTGTTTAAAAAGACATTTGTTATGAATTCATGTACAGTAATTAGGATCCTTGATTTATTAAAACAAGACAATCATAAGGAGCCCAAGTAGTTCCCTACTTTGGCAGGTTAAGTCAGACAGGTGTGGGTTTGTTACCTACTGTATAGCTTTCCATTTGCAGATCTAAAGAAGTTTGTTTTTTTAATCTGAGAAGAGCATCATTTTATTATGAGGGTAATGAAAGTGTTTGAAAGGAAAGTGTTGCCCAGGGCTCTCACTTTATAACATCAGATCACATGGCTCTTTTATGTGCTCGTGCTCAGAATTTGAACTGAAACTGAAAGATTTGTACACTGCAGTCTCAGGATATTTCAGCCAGCTCTCATCTGACTCACAACGGTGTATACTTCTATAGCAGCATAAACCATTCAGAATGGTCTTGTTAGGGGACTGAGGGTGTTGTGAAGACAAACAGGGAGCTCCTAGCAGGGACAGACTGGGTCCTGCGACTGTTCTTATTTACACGTTCTTTGCTGCCATAGAGCAACGCGCTCAAAAGCTGCATGTCAGCATTAACCCCTCACTCAAGGCTGCTCGATTGACAGATGCACCTGGTTTGGACCTCTGTTGGCCGTTGGGGGGCAACGTTTTAGATCTCTTCCAAGCAAAGGCAACATTATCTGCTTACAATGACCAGAGAGGACATGACACAATTACATTCACACTGTAAGGATGTTGGGAGTAATATAAGTGGCAGTTGTCAGGGGTTACTGTGGTCCATGTCGGCTCTTGTATATCTGATTATTGTATATTTAGGGCTTAGCCACACTGCCCATAAAGCTTCAGTAATGTAGTAGCTGCTAAATATAACAGACCCTTGTTGAACCGTAACTCATAAGTTGAACTTGTTGAACTAAAATCTCATAAGAAGCCCCAGTTCTGACTGTTTCGCTCGTCACCAAAAGGGCCGAGGTGAAAGGGATGGTTGCTACCACACGAGGGAGAGGTCGTAGGAGAGTTTTACCCAAATGTGTGGTCAGAAGAGAAGTTGGGTGTTTGACTCAACAACAGTTGGGAATCTGCAAACATAATTCATAAGTAGGATCCAGAGTCTCTTCGATCACCATCCAGGGTTGGTCCAGTGAATTTGGGGTTCGTGGGAGAGCTTCATGGTAACATAAAAAAGACATGAATTTGTCAAATGGCAACTAGTGACTCCCACGTCAGTTGGGACAAAGTGATACAGGAGGAAGAAACACAAATGGAGTTTTTGGACAGTGTCATCATGAGTCTGATTAGCACAGAAAGAAAGTAATTGATGAGAATCAAAAGAAAGTCGTTCCTTCTGAGAAGAACAGAAATATTCTGATCTGCTTCAGGATTGGTTTGCGTCCCCTGGTCCTCATGTCCTAGACAGATTACAAAGTTGCCAAGACACTTCTCTCATGAAGCTCATGCTTTGTCACAAGTTGGCTGTTCAACAGGGTATCAACTCAAATCCCATGTCAAACTCAATGAGGCAAAGGTAGAGCAGAAAAATATGTGTTCTTGGTTGTCACAGCCTCCAATAGAGGACCTGTGGAGTTTCTTTTAATATCCTTATGTTTAATAACCTATTAAAAGTCTACAGAAAGCACCTTCTCAAAGTTGCCAAGACCAAAAGAGGACTCATAAACTCACTTGGTTAAGAATACATTTGATCATTGTGTATTTAGAAACATGTAACTGTTTTTGACAGGTGTTCTTTTTAGTTATAAAATATTGAAACTCAAGCAAGCCTTTGAATTATTTCTCTAAACATACTAAATGTATTCATGGATTTTAAATTCAGCTTTTAGATACAGTTCATTGTAGGTATGAGTAACTTTGGAATCTTATTGTTTCCAAAAAGAAAGGTTCTGTTCACTATGGTCTGCAAGATGCCATATTACTTGATACCATATCTTCAGAAGGTCTCACAAGTCATAAATAATATTTAATCAGTGTTAAGAATCTTTGAGAGCAAATTGGTTTTTAAAGTTACTTAAAATTTCTTTTTTTAAAAACTTTATTTAAAATGTTAACTTAATTGTAACATTTAGGTGGGAGTGGATGCAATGCTTTTCTGCAGCTCCCTGTTTCTTCACCTTGTTTTTTGTCAGACTCAGTTCTTATACAATATCTAGTATCAACGTTGTCTTGTGGTTGTATTTCGAAATGCTTGGCACCACTGTGGAGCACATAAGCAATTCTGATCAGTGGGCTACGTTTGATCTAAAAGACAGTCTTTCATCACAGGGAACGCCTTTGGTTGAGTTATTCGTTATCATATTACACTGTTTTATTTGTTAGTTTAAACCTAATTACTTGGAAGTGAAGTTTGTTTGTTTTGGGTGCTCTTCCAGCAGGTCATTCTTTGGCTTTGTTTATGGTCTAACTTGTAGCTACTTGCTGCCAGAGGTAAAACCAGTCTTAAGGTTTTCTTCAAGATCTCCTCAGTCCTCTGCTAAGGCGCTCCACTGCCTTCTCTTTTACACTTGGCTGTGTCTGCTCTTGCACCACACAGAGAATGTGCTTGGATTTCCTTAATTGGGCTGCTTCTTCCAACAAGGGTTTCTTGGTGGCAAAATGACATCAAAACACTATCTGTGTGCAATCTCTGTAATGAGATCATCTGTGAGTCTCCCTAGTGATAGGAAAATGCTCAGGCCTTATCCAGTGGACTGTTAAATAGGTCTTCAGAGCGTCTTCTTCTTATCTGCAAATAGACAGGCAAGCAGGGTGAGGTTGTGTCTTCTTATCACTGACAAGTTCAGTTGGATGACATGCCATATGGACACACAAAGTTATTTTTCTTTGAGCAGAATACTGTAACATGAGGAACTGTTTAACAATGTGAAATATGTCATCTCCCCAACACCAGACAGGTGATATAGACAGCCTGTTTTCATATAGACGCCTCTATAGAAAAATATGAAAAAGCTCTTTCTCTGGAAATGTGTGGAAGTTTTCGGTACAGTCAGAGCCGAACCTAAATGCTGCAGTTGCCATGGGAGCACCTTGTCCGGCTTGGAGCCGAGTCAGATTCTTTCCATCCCCCGAAGTAAAGATGATAAACTCCAGGAGAACAGGAACGTCCACCGCAGCCCGTCGCAAACAGCAGAGCATGTCGTGATTCTTCTCTGATGAAGCCAACCCCTGCTGTAGGTGGGATGTGTGACCATAATAATGCTGCCAACAGCAACAACAGTAATAAAATCACCTGCAGGTTACAACTTGGTAAATGTGAAGCAGGAATTCCTCGGAAGGGCCATAATAACAGGTGGACTTTGGGAGATGGCCCTGGGAAAACCGCCAGGACTGAATTAAAGGCTGCGTGGGTCATTCCTTAGTCTGTTTTTCCACACGTTTAAAGTGCGCAGCTCTGCTGGAATGTGTGTGCAGATCACTGAATCACCCTTTTCCCTGATCGAGTTATTCTGCCCCCTTCCCAGCGTGTAACAGGGACGCTGACATGTTCCAGAATTCAGAGGAAGGCACGGAGAGTGCAGGACTTTGCTTCACTTCGTGGTTTTGCCACTAATTGAACCATGGAGAACAAACTTGCCAAGTCTCGCCAAGTAGCATTAATTAAAAGCAAGGCCATATTTGAACACCAGTAAGATCTTACGTCTGTAGCCAGAATGTAAGAAAATCACAGAAGTATCATCTATTGGCATTAGGAAAAAAATAACATTGCTTCATAACATTTCTTAAAAACAACCCTTTGGATCTGCATTACTTAGGGAAAGTATCTCTCATTCGGCTGTTGCTGAACAAGGGGACTCTGTTTCTTTCCATTCTTCCTCTGCTCTCACTGCCGCTTCAGGAATTTTCTGGCTTCTGCGAGTTGGACTTTTCACCCCCTTAACATGAATTATGGATCATTTTCGAAGCACTGTCTTGACGTTTTCAAGAGGCGCTCAGAGCCTGCATCTTAAAACCACCCCCGACTCTACCGATCTAACACGCGAGGTTTCGAACACGCAGCCCCCCCGTGGCTGGTGGGGACGAAGTGAGAGACCTGTCGGCACGTAAGCCACACGCCAGCAGGGCTCCCCGGATGCGCTGTTCGTGACGCAGGGGGCGAGGTGAGCCCGGACGCGCTGCCAGTTCCCACACAACAGCTAGCGCTCACTGCCTGCGTCCTGTGGGATTCAGCCTGGGTCCAGGCTCTCGAGCTGGAGTTCCGTGAAGTGTGCCAGAAAAATACATCTGTGCTGCAGTTCCTTTAAAGTCCTCTGCTTTGATGAGGTCGGGTGGGGGGGAATCCACAATAACGCGACACTACCCCCGTGATCTTTCCCCGTGATCTGTGTGTTTGTGTTCTTGATGGGCGAAGTCAGCTGCAGCTACTGTGCGTCTGTTAGCACTCGCTTAACCCCTTGAAAGACACCCCGTCGTGCAATCATGCGGCTTCTTCGTGTCTTGTGTTCGCTTGTAACACACAATCACGGAGGACAATGCTGCTGGCAATGCCTGAGAGGTTATGACAAAAACAAAGATTGCAGAATAATTCTGTTCCACTCTAGCATGGGATACTCATTTTCACAATGAAAAATAATACGAATCACCTCGCTGAGTATAATGTCATATATTTTGAGAGATTGCGTGGCTCTTAAGATTGCTATTAATACATCTCACTTCCTTACATCGCGTGTGTAATGTAAAGGAAGTTTGGATGCTGAGAAAGTTAGAAAGGCGGAAGAACAACCTACAGTTATAGTTGGCACATGGCAAACTTGTGACAAAAATAAGTGAAAAGTAACAGCATGTACAGTATGTCAATATTTGTGTGTGCACACTTTGTTTTTTTCTGCAGCACCAGATACCACCCCATCTTATTGTTTTTTGAACATCTTTTGAGTTCTGCGTCCCATGAGGTTTCTGAGGGTAGAATCAAGTGGGACTAGTCTCTAAGTATTTTTCACCCATTTTCTCCCTTCAAATCCCCCAACTTAAGTTTAGATGATCGCCGCTTTGGCAGTGCCAGTGTCGCTTGCGGAGCTCGGAAAGGCTCTGGCAGGTGTAATGTTTACACAAACATCACAGTCGCATCATGTATATATTAACCTGATGTGTCGTTATAATGTTAATGGCCTATTCGATTTTACAAGCAAACGTTTCTCAGTCGACAGTAATAAACTGCGTTAGCTCACCTCAATGAAATTTGACAACAGGTAATATCCCATCGGGACAAGTGAATGTTTCATCATGAACATATCCCTTCTCAGCACGGTCAAGATTTCTCGGAAAGGAAGCTCGAGGGTTTTCAGTCTCTGTATTATCGGTGCAATAACGGAACCTGGAACAGCCTCTTCTGCAACCGTTGGAAACGTGAAAATTTATTTTTTTAAGTTGACTTAAAAAATATTGTTTCCAACCCTTTCTGCTTTGTGGCTGCCTCGTGTTTAACTACACTTGATCAACTTGAAGGGTGCTTTTTACAACTTTCTGTGCGGCAAATTAGCTTTAAGAATGTGTACCTTTTATTGATACACCTGTCTAGCACTCATCTCTTCTGTGTTTGCTCTGCAGGAAAAGCTGACGCCGGAGTGTGTGTTCCGGGAGCAGTTTGAGGAGAATTGGTACAACACGTACTCCTCCAATCTATACAAACACACGGACACTGGACGAAGATACTATGTGGCGTTAAATAAGGACGGCACTCCGAGAGAAGGGACTAGGACTAAAAGGCACCAGAGGTTTACACACTTTTTACCAAGACCTGTGGACCCTGACAAAGTACCCGAACTATATAAAGATATTTTAAGCCAAAGTTGATAATAACATACGGTTTTTTTTCTGGTTTGAGCCCTTAAAAGTGGAAACGACGACAACAACAACAACAACGACAACAAAACAAACTAAAAAAAATATATAAAACAGAATAGAAACAAAGCAGACAACAAACACTCTAGAGATTTTTGTGCGGTGGGCTCTTATTGATTAGCTGTGTCATCACATCAGCTGCACTGTTGCCAAACTTCGCCGCATGCATAATGTATGATGCAGGCTTGGATGGAACGTGCCGGTTTCTGTCCTGCACTTAAAATACGGTCTGTCCTGTTAGAGGGGAGCCCGCTCGCTCGGTTTCGTCACCAGGGGCAACGCAAGACGGGATGAGAGCCGGAGAGAGGCGCCTGGACCCGTGGAGAGAGGCAGAGAGGGAGACTGAGACTGAGAGGGGTGTGGCCCGATGCATGTTGAGAGACGGACACGCTTTTCATATTTTTTTCTCCACCCCCCCCATCAGTTCCTCCTCATCTTATATCAGCATCGCTGCGTTCGGGTTTTGGCTGGTGGCCTGCTCACGCCTATCCTGTATGAACGGTGGCATGTACGATGCAGTCTTAAAAAAAAAAAGGCAAGAGACGTTTTCAGTTATCAGCTCCTTGGAGCTTAAAGCAAAGACCTCTTAGTAAAAAGAAAAAAAAAAGAAACCTTAAATTTATTTATAGAAAACTTTCAAAGGCAACATTATATTTATTTTATATATTTATTTATTATATAGAGTTTATTTTTAATGAAATATGTATAGACCAAGATAGGCATTTCGGAAAGCTTTAGATGCTGTAGGCATGTTGTGCCGGAGGCCGTGGTATCTTCGTGGACGAACACAAATCCTGTCGGCATGGACAGAAGATATTCTAGTGACCCTTATTGTACTGAAGGTGACAATCTATTTTTTGCCCATATTATTGTAATAATATGCACAGCACTCATGACACTGAGTATCCACTCTTCTTACCGCTTGTTTCATAGCTTTCCCTGAGGATTAAAGAAAAACCTGGGTCCTGACTGTTCCTACGCTGTCTTTTGTGTCTTCCTGTCTGATGTCTCCCCACTCTCGTGCTTTCTCTCAGGAGGGAGGATTTACATCGAAAAAAGGAAGCAGGCCAAACCTGCACCCCTTTGTTTAAAAACCATTATCTTTCATAAACTCAGCAGTCACGGGGCCTGAAATCAGACTGCTCGTTACATGGACATCTGTCCCGGTGTTCTCTTCAGCTCCCAGTCCGGTGTTCTTGTAGCACACATTGAGATTCTGTCAGGAAGGACTCGTGCACACACCACATGTGTTTTATGAGTGTTTGCCACTTCTCTCAAGGTTAAATATTGCCCACTCTGATACAACTGTTATGTCTCGCAAGGACCTTGTTCTGTTCTAAACGTGAAAACAAAATGATCACGTTTCAGGGCTATAGAAACCTAGCAGAAGGAATGTGTCATATTAAACTTTGCCAGTTGCTTTTTGGTGACTGTCACCTGAGTAGCTCTGAGGTGTATTGATTTCTACACCAGCGACATTTACTTAAGGTAAGAACAGGATTAAAAAACACCTGAGGAAGTGGATTTCGTTTTGAGGACACAACCGAACATGCACGACTCAATCACTGATGCGTGAGACATATTTCCCAATATTTCCCTAATATTTCATGTTGTTTACTATTATGAGTATCCAACACATGTGTGATAGTTTTTTTATCTATCAGACTGGACTGATGGTCTGAATATCATAATACAGTACCTTATATCTCACTGAAGAATGGCTTTGCTATAGGAAAAAGAATAATAGTTTAGTAAACATCTTAGTAAGTTATGAGTGAGTTAATAAAACACCCCACATGGAAAATCCATTCTTTGGTGATACCCCAAATCACCAAATCACCAGACTTAGATGTCTGTCTAAGTGAGGTTATATTAATGTTGGTCACCTTTTATTCTGTCAGCATGCCTTAGCCTGTCTAGAGTCCATCACTGTTTCTGAGGCGAGGATATGTATTAAGCAAATATCTTCAGTGAGTTGTATCACTTAACAATAATTGATATTCCCTGAAAAAAAAACCCACGATTGCTCTGATGCAGTCTGATGCAGTTTGTTTCACCTGTTAGAACGCTTATGGAAAGTGCCTCTCATTAAGTCCTGCGCTCTGCTTTACGCCCTACACAGGGTCCGGTTGTTCGGGAACCTTCTGTCTCCACAGCACCAGCAGTGTGCGGGGCTCTCCTCCACCTGCGTTTGCACTTAAGACGAAAGTGACAGAGCCCCACTGTGCGCGGCACGGCTCACGTCCGATCTGCCAGCGCACGTCCCTTCACAGTGCTGCATCACACTGTAAACAGGTCACTAGGCAACCTATTGTTAGCGTGCCCTTCAACCTAGCCTCCTACTGCAGAGATCTGCTGTGGAAGGAGAGCCCGAGGAACAGCACAGACACCACAAAAATTCATTATTGAGTTTCTGCAATTGACTTTCATGTTGGTCGGCTTAATTTGAGTTGTTCCTAATTACTATACACATCCAGCTTGGCACAATGGGAGTTTATTTCCAACCCCCAGGTATGGTAGCTGTGGAAGTGAGACAGTGTGAGGTGGATGCTTCCCAGTTTGACCACATCTGGCTGTGTATTCGAACAAAAAAAAAAGGATCAATCCCTCTTCTAGAGCCTTTAAGTGATCATATTTAAAAAGATTTGCTTTGATTTAACCAAAAACATTTTTTTAAATTCCATTTCGGCATCGTGAACATTTCTTAGTTGAAGTTGCAAATTAGGTTGCAAATTTAAAACTGCAATAGCAATACATTCCAGATATTTGCATAAATAATAATAATAAATATTATTATATTAAATTATGCATTATTGAATATTAATTAAACAAGTTATTAACTAAAATATTGCAGTATAATCTTCAATAATATTGTTGAATCTGGCAGATTGATCCCAATTACCAGATCTTTTAAGCAGACATATTCACACAGTACTGGACATTAATCCAGATACCAGTGACATCTCCACCTGGGATAGATTCACCCTGAAAAAGTAAGCTTTACTTGGCATTAGAAGTGTAGCAGTTGATTTGAATGTTACTCCAGACATGTTGCATGACCCCAGCTGTGATCCAGAAGACCCTTTTTCACCTGACCTCATGCAAATGAGGGGTGATATGTAAATTAGCGATCTTTAGAGCTCCCTGAATGTGTTTTCTGAGAAGTGGAGACAAGGAGTTGCCATGATCACAGCTGGACCTGAGCGCTGTCCCAGGAGACACCACACCTGAGTGACACTGAGAGAGCAGGCACACGAGAGACTAACAGCTGGACCTGCACGCTGTCCCAGGAGGCACCACACCTGAGTGACACTGAGAGAGCAGGCACACGAGAGACTAACAGCTGGACCTGAGCGCTGTCCCAGGAGACACCACACCTGAGTGACACTGAGAGAGCAGGCACACGAGAGACTAACAGCTGGACCTGCGCCGTTTCTTAAATGTGACTGGAGAGGTGGCATATAACCTGAGAAGTGAGTGATATCTCTATTAGTGCATTGCACCACCTTCAGAAGAAATGACAAATACTGTATATACCGAACCCAGGGATCTCCACTGGGGGAGGCTTCATATCATCCTAGACTATTGCAGCCGGGCCCTGTGTCCAGCCAGCTTTGTGGAAATGCAAGAGAAAGCCATGCGTACAGTTGCCCCAATGTGTCCCCGCAGGACCAGGTCAGAGGGGTGGGCCCCACGCTCAAAGGACAGTGACATCATCAACTCCACGGCTGCCAGTGACATCACACCTGCTTTAATAAACCCGTGGCTTGTCCATGCCGTGTGTCTGCTCCATTAATACTCTCTTCTACTGATCTCACCCGTAACACTTTCCATGGGTCATGGCTGAAATCCGTCCAGGATGCAGGGTTTCCATGGTGGAGGCGGGCATGGCGTGTGTGTGAGGGTGGCTGTCACTGGAGCCCAGTCGCTTCGGCCTTCTGGCCGTGTGGCCAGTCCCCCCCCGCTTGGACGTCACTCACCTCAACACAGCTCACCTGTGCCTCCAGGCTGCACAGCTGTACACCCATGGCAGCTTGCAGGGGGCTTTTTCCTTGTATGCTGTTTACTGTAACTCTCCAAATTTGAAATGATCGAAAAAAAAACTCCGATATAGCACTGCCTCTGCACGCCCACTGTCTTTTAATGTTCCATGCTGCCACCCTGGAATATTTTACCCACCACTCAGCTGGACGTAGTGTCCTGAGAGCCGTCCGTACTCATGGCTTTACAGGTTCCACCTGGGCTGAGATGAAGGGCCGGCCAGCAGGACACTGCGATCTGATTTGTATCTGTCCAAACTGCTCTTCCTTCCACAGTGAAGTCTGAAATTGCATTTTGAATATTATGGTTGGAATATTTAAAGAAGATATTGTTATACAGTATGGTCAGGAACATGCTACTGTCTGTAAACGTGTGCATGCAGGTGTGTTAATATTACTTATGCAGGTCTGTCATTTTTATATGCGTGTAAGTAGAAGTGTTAGCTTTATTTATGTGTGCAATAGTATCATACGGGTGTATAAAGAAGCATGTTAGCATTCTATATGTGTGTATGCTGGTGTGTTGGGACTGTGCTCCTAGGTTTGTATGCTATTATTATATATCTTCATAAACAGGTATGTTAGTATTATATAGTGTATGTGCGTACACAGGTTTTATAGTATTGTATATCTGTGTGTGTTGGTGTCAGGATTAGATACAGTAAGCGCATAGCATATATGTTAGTCTTATATATTTTTGGTCATAGGTAGGCTTTAGAGTTTTATGTGTGTGCATGTAGGTGAGTTAGTACTCACAGTATGGGCTGTATGTAAACAGATGTGTTAGTGCTACATGGAGTATATACTGTATCTATGCAGGTTTGTTATTACTATATGCAGTATATATGTAAGCAGGTGTGTTAGTACCACATACTCTATATGTGTAAATGTACTTTAACAAATACCATGGACCTGCAATTTAAACTGGAGTTCATTATTCAGCTGTGGCAACATTCTCATCTCACCAGTTTTAAACAGGAGGAGGTCAAGCCCTGATCTCACCCACTTCAACCTGCCGACATACCAACATCCTGCTTTTTGCCGACTCGCTTGAGTGTTTCATTTTCGCTTCCCTGGTCCC